CTATTGTATATTTAAATATTACATTATTATTTTAAATAATTTTTGCTACAAGTTTACAAAAATTCAAGGTCAGAAATGAAAGTCAAAACAGTTATTTTTGTAAATCGTCAAAATTGTTTATATTTTATTTATTATCTTGAATATATTTATTTCAGAGCCAGGCAGTGTATAATATTATATACAGAAAAATATATTTTTAAAAATATGCAAAAATATATTTGTACACCTCTCAAAAGTCAGTTTATAGATACATTAATCTCTATCATAGAAGCTTTCGCCGTGAGAGTTGGCTTATCAAAATTTATAGAAGCAATGAACACCTGAGCACAATTTCACTGCTAGTTCATAAATAAGTTCTGTGTATATACAGACGATATAGGCTTGTATAACGATTGTTTTTATTTCACAATAATGATAGTTATCTGATTAGGCCCATATGAGTCATGCCAGCTGAATTAATGAATCATCAAATGATTGGGGCATATAGATTTACAGATATGTATATTTTAAAATCAAAAGTTAAATCCTAGAAATCTTTTAAATTTAGATTTTCGTTCAATTGGTTATGCATAATATTTGTAGTTTATTTCGCTGTAAGAAGTTCTCGACACACGTTGCTATATAGTATATTTACTCACTTCTCTGCCAGCCGGCAAACAGCTCGTTACAAGTAACTGGCGTAGGTAACAACGTTTCGAATACAACTGAGCGGCCCCTTCAGCCTTCACGTACTAAAAATCACATTGACGTGTGCCGTTTCAACACCCAGACATATCTATATATATATATATATATATACGCCACATACTGCCAAAGTATATATATTTATACACATGCACACATTTATATACAGACGCATCTGTTTACCTACATATGTAGATGGTCGCAGTGGCGAACAGATAAAAAACGTTTGCACGAATGGTCGACGTACTTGGTGAAATTATAACTGTAACATTAAAATGGTTGCGAAAGCGTTGACCCGACTGTGAAATATCCTGTAATTTATATTAAGTATATGCCAGCGAATATCTAGTTTAAATAATAGGAATATCGTCTGGATTTGCTTAGTTAGTATATTAATTTTACATATTTGATGATTTTGCTTTATATATGTATAACAAGTATATAATATATATTTAGATAAAACCTATATAACCATTCGGATATTGCTGCAAAGCATGTGTGGAAAACCTTAAAGAGCGCGAAACCTTTCACAGCATAATACTTTGCATGATATACGGTGCGTATGCGTAATATTTACTATGAAATTATATAAATAATACATACATCAGTAAACAGATTTGCAGCTACGTAAATATGCTAAATAATAAATTCTGCAAATCCAAGGTAAATAAAAAACTTAGGATACAGAGCAAATTAAGTTTCTTATAATTTTAAAAAAATTCAGCAAAAAAAAAAAATATTTATATGGGCTTTTAAATAAACAAAAAAATTGCAGGTGCTCTAAATATATAATTTTAAATTAAATTATACTTTACTTTATTCAMACTTATACTCTTGAAACAATACACAAAAATAATCACATTATTCATTCAGAAAATATTTATTTGTATTTTAAAAAATAATAAATCGAAATGTAGCATAAAAAGACTTTACAAAAAACACAAGCTAAATTTTAAATTTTTTTTTGTTCGTGTGCGAAATAATTTGCGTTTTAAAATTATTGTATAAATGATATATATTGTCGCATAGGCAAATTACAAAACTTAAAAACTATTAAAAAATATATATGAGTATCATTTGTTATTATAATATTTATATGAATTGATTTTGGAATCTTTCAATGTAAGATAGTGGGTTAGTTTAGTTAGTGGGGAGAGACGGAGCCGGTGACAGAGACGTAGGCTCTGGCATAGTTTAATACTTGAATTTTGGTATTTATGCCGAAATGTGTTTTACAGTATTGGAAATATAGAAAGATTAGAAATATATATGCATGTATGTGTATGAATGCGAAAGGAACTGCTTAGAAAAATTGCACGCATCGAATATTTAAGTTAGTTAGTTAATATATTTCTATTTCACTTTCAATAGATATTTGCCAATCGCCAGTAATTTGATTGAAATTTTTGTAAACACGTGAAAAATTTCAAAAATTACCAGATTTATTCACATAAAATTGGCATCGCATAGTGCCTTGTATAAAAGCATTTGTATAAATTAGTTAGTTAGTCTCTTAATTATGTTTTTAGTAGTTTTCTTTTATGTCTTTCGTTGCTTCGTTCATTCAGCTAGTGCTCAAGGTGACTGATAGTCCTGGCATGAGCTCTCCTAATTATTTTCTATCCTTGCCATGGCGATCCCGCTGATGCTTTGTGGCCGCAATTGTCGTTGTGGTCAGGCTATGCACATGATGCTGAGGCTGATGCTGACCTCCATGGTGTTTGCTGCTACTATGCTGCTGCTGCTGCTGATGATGATGATTGTGATGATGATGTCCATTCAGTGTGCTTTTACCGTGTCTGCAGTAGAATAGAAATGAAAGTATATTAGTACAATTGTAGTAAATAAGCTTTCAATTCAAGTTTAATATGCTTGCTACTGGTTTATATATATATATATATAACATATCCTTTTAGAGAGAGTATACCAATGTGCTACTTCCACTACGTAGTTCCAGTTTAGAAATATAGAGTAGAGCGAGCGATGTTGATGTTTATTTGTTTGCAGTTCATTTCCAATTTCATTGATGATAGATTTTATAGATTGTATTTGCTTTTTTTTCTTTTTCCAGCAACATGTTCATAGTCAGTGTTTAGAATTGATACTAAAAGTGTAGTTTCAGCGTGCTACTAGGGTGTGAGCAGACTATTATAGTAAATATTTTCTTTTAACTACTTTTTTGGTTTTAGATTCATGCAGTTTAGTAGTTGATTAAGATATATGCTAAAAACAATTCTTGTTAAGCTACTATAAGGACCGAACATTTTACTGAAGATCTACAACAAAAGAGTTGTTTACTGTAGTTAGTAGTGCAAAATATTAAAAATATTTTAATTTCCTATATGATACTTCTTGTTTTTTTTTTTTTTTTACTTTGTATTATTTATTTTTGTATTATTTTTTAATTTACCCCCAGAAATATTTATATGAGAATATATCAATATCCTCAAGTATTCTTTATAAAAATAAAAATATAGCTCTACACGTATTTTTTTTATAGAAATGAAAATATTTTTCTATCTCTTCAAGTATCATTTTGTATAACAAATAAAATAAAAAATAAAATCATATATATGTATATCTTTTTATTTTTAATTT